GGCGACAACACTGGCAGCATGCCTTAGGCCACTTCAGGTACTTCGTCCCTTGCTTATTTTGAAACATTGGGGACAATGTTCAATTTAAGTGTGGGAGGAGACTTTATTTATATTTATTTTCTCGTTGTTTTATTTTATTTACCGCTTTTTAGTTTATTTTCCCTTCGTATTTTTCTTTTTGTTTTTAGAAGATACTTGTGCTTAACGAGTCACATCGTAGTATAATCTTATTCTCTCATTACTTTGCCCCACCAATTTTTTTTTTAATGACAAATAGTGTACTATTCTGAAAATTTTATGGGCTTTGAGGCAAGTTTGAGTTAGGATGCGGATGATTTGGAAAATTCTCTTTGAAACATTGATATCACTATAACACCTTAGGCTTCGCAAATGCAGAAATTCTCCCCGATACCCTGCGCACCACAAACTTAATAGAATGTCCATAGTGAGTCCTTAATAGTTTATCCTAGCAGTCAGCTCCAACCAAAAATATTATCTAAGTGAAGGATCGATGAAAATAAGTGAATGATCGGTATGCTAAAATAAAATGATTACAACTCGGGTATAGGTAACCCTCATAAGGTCATTTAACCCAAAAAGTTGTAATTTCGAAAAAAAGAAAAAAAATGATAAAGACAAAACAAAACAAAAATATCTTTCCATTGTCAGTTGGTTTAGAGGTATCTGGTACTGAACTCGGTAGGACGAATTACGATCCGATCCCCCACAGCTGCGAGTGGGCCAATAAAACGGGTTACACCACTTTGTATACCAGAACCCCATGCTTAAGATCAGAAACACTAACCGGTCACTTCACCATGATTTTGTACGGATAACTTGCTTAATGTGATTGCACCAGAATGAAAAGGACTCAAAAGGAGATTTCAAAGTAGACCTAGGTACAATAGGGTAGTATAAATTGATTTGTGTAAAAACGAAGCTTATGTCCGTATTTACAGAGAAATGTCATTCCGATACCCGTGGTTCACTGAGTCATCACCTATCACTTCATCCCAGCTTGAACTTATAAGACCTTTTTGCCTAGATCATTTATGGATATCACCCTGTTTTCTGTCATGATATTTTGCTTGAGGACAAACAAAAGTTTTAGTGTGGGAGAATTTGATAGACCTAAAATATACTGTTTTCCTGACTCGATTTGCACACGTTATTTAGGATTTTATTTCTGTTTTCTTGTATTATGCCTTTGTTTTGTTTCTTTTTCAGGTTTTTGTATTTTCAAGGCTACTCGAGAAGAAATGAAGGAAAAACGAGCTAAAAGACCTACTTTCTGAGGAATTGTACACATGGCTTCCACCATGGCAGACACCATAGGGGATGCCACACATTGGATAGAAGCCAACTGTTGACAACTGCCACGTCTCCTAGTCCTTTCCACCCTAGTTCATGTGGCAGGCGCCACCTTCACATGCTCATTTCCCTCCCAAAAGGAGTTGAGGGCATTCTTGTCCTTACCTGTACTTTCCTACCACTATAAATAGAGGAGTTCTATTTCATTTCTAATCATTCAAGCTTAGTTATAGAACTCAAGCCATAAATTTCACCTATTGTAAAGTGATAAACGTCTCACATCGAGGGGTTATCACATTGTCTAATCGAGTCTGTAATCGAGTTTGGAGCACTTGGGTAGAAGTTAATCCTGCCACCATTTTATTTCAGTCTTTTTACTTCCAGTTGTACAAGATTTTAAAGCCTCTCGTTTAGAGCAGGTTTCTGTCTATTTATCGCCTTTTATTTATCTGCTTTTATTTCTCGCACCGCTTTTATTTCTCGCACCGCACTTTATTTATTTATTTACCCGCACTTTATCTACTCGCACTTATTTACCATGTTTATTTACTTTACCATGTCCGACTAAATCTTAAAGGCCAGGATGCGAGGATTGTAGTTATAATAGTATTCCATACGGCTGTCGATAGAATTACTTAGGGGTTATTTTAACTTTTAACACTTATTTTCTGTACTTAAAATCTGTTGGGTAAGATCGAAAGCCGTCCAACCTTTAGATAAATTTGGTTAGTTTTAACTGTTCTAAGGAAGCGAAAGCGCTTGGCTCAGTTAATTAGGAATCTTTAATGTTCAAGAAAACCGATTTTAAAACTGTTTTCGAACGCGTTTATGGAATTAAAGTCTAGTTCACAAGAACCTTTTTTTGTTAAAAATTCCAAGTCAAAATACTTTTCAACTAAGTTAAGAAACTATATTTCTTAAAAATAGGTTTATTAATCCTAACGCAATACGCGCCTTTTTATAAGTGACAATAAGAGGGGTCGATTAGGGATAAACTCGGTTCTGATTACGCGAATGCGACAGTTCCCGTTAAATTAGTTCTTTTCATGAGTGGAAAACATTACCCCATAAGGCATCCTATCTATACACATTTGGAATACTACGTAGCTATATGAATTGCATATATGCCTGTTATTTTATTATTGAATTTAATTCCGCACTTTACTTTTGTTTCACACAATCCAACCTTTTATTTGACTTGCCTTAGATAAACACCGTAACACTAGCGAACGATAGATTGACGTTTGGTCTCTGTGGGATCGATAATCTTTTGTATTACTTTGACGTTATTCGTGCACTTGCAAATTGCCCATCAGCTTACCAGCTGCACTATGGCACTATGTCTACAGCAACTCTTACTCTGTATACCTATCAATGACCCTGCATGCCTACAATGACCCTGCTTGCAGGCCTACGAGATTCTTACTCTGCATGCAGCATGCTTGACAAGACAACACATTGCTTACTAGCCGCACGCCTCAAATGCATCAAGACACTTGCCCTGCATGCATTTACAAATCACATGCATCAAGACACTTGCCCTACATGCATTTACAAGACACATGCATCAAGACACTTGCTCTGCATCCAACTACAGGTCATTTGCATTCGTGGAATATAAATAGAGGTTCTTTACCCAACAAAATCTGCTCACACTCAAACTCTCAAAGTTTCTAAGTTTCTAAGTCTCAAACTCTCAAACTCTCAAAGACTCAAATTCGTAAACCACAATGTCTCTACTCACAATGGGCAACTCTCACAGAGGCACGATTGAGAACATCACTGGGTTTGTAAGTTTTTAGTTTTTGTCTATTTTACGATCTTTAGTTCTTGTATAAAACTAACGAAACATTGCTTATTTTGCAGGATGCATCAAGGTTTCGATGTCATGTGCATGATTACATACCACACGACCCCCTCATAGAGGGATACCTTCAACATTGTGGGTTTGGTGATTTAATTAAAATCAAATCATACTCACTCGATACGAAGTTCATTCTACCGTTGTTAGAACGCTGGAGACCAGAGACACATACATTTCACCTACCTTTCGGTGAGTGCATTGTGACTCTTCAAGATGTCTACATGTTGCTCGACCTAAACATCAATGGTAAGGCCGTCAACGGCACAAAAACCTCGTCGTAGATCTCGTCGCAACGCGCATCCTCCACAATGTGGCACCGGTGGTCGCTTGGATAAAGCCGACTGTTAATTTTTCTTTTATCAATTGTAATTTTTTTTCTAGTTGTAAATTAATATATTTTCATATTTATTACATTTCTATATTTTTTAAGGTTATTTAAATTTCAATTAATTATGAAAAACATAAATTATAATTTACTATTTATTCCATTTATTTTTTCTTCATTATTTACATTTTAATTAATTATAAAAAACAAAAAATACAATTTAATATTATATATATATATATATATATATATATATATATATATATATATATATATATATATATATATATATATATATATATATATATATTAACTTTATTTAAAATCCAATTAATTATAAAACATAAAAACATAATTTAATATTTATTTCATTTTTTTTAATATTTACATATTAATTAAATATTAAAAACATAAAAACAAAATTTTCGCAAACCCTAAAAAAAAAGAAAATTAAAATGAGCACTGTCGCCATTTCAATTGGCGAAGAAGAAAAAAAAACCAGAAGGCCCGAGTCGCCAAGTTATTTGGCGACACTGTCTCACTAAAGGTGCACTCGTCATTTTATTTGGCGACACAAGGTTAATTCTTAGTCACTTTTATAATTTTTTTTTCAATTTTGTGTTTATTTGATATATTATTTGAATATACTTGTTATTTAAAAAAAAAATTCTAAAAAGTATATAAAGTTAGATTTATTAAAAAAAATTGTATATCATCATCATCATATAAATAAATAAATAAAAACTGAATATTCTAAAAAAATTCATATAAATAGCAGATAGCAAACGGAAGAAGGGTCTTTTAACGCATTTTATCGCAGTTGAAGGTTTAGGTTAGGGTTCCTCGCCTCCTTCCAAGTTCCAACAACTACAACACCAAGTTCGTTTTTCGTTTTTCGTTTTTCTCTATTCTATTTGTTTTATTGTTTATTTCTGTATCTATCTATGTTTTGCTTTGACATTATAACTTGTTCCTAAATTTGTCTTTTCGATTTTGATGTCCTTTAAGATTGTTCTTTCTCTGTATTTTTGGTACATGATTCTGTTGGATTTGATTCTATGCTGTTTGCGTCCTTTGTGTTTACGTTTGCATTGATCTATTTGAATTTATCAGTTATTAAGGTTTAGGAGTTTGTGATTTCGGTTGTTACTTATAAGACATGTTTTAATCATGTTTTAAGTTGCGATCTTGGTCATTGCGGTTACTCCCATGATTATTGCGGGCATCGCGACGTGAAATTTTATTGAGAAGAGTTTGAAATAAACCGTTGAAAAACGCTTAATGTTAATATTTTTCTTAAGTAGATTGAGTTTTTGTTTCTAAATTTTGAGTTTTAACGAAAATACTTGAAAAAATCTGGACGAAGTTGTCTGATATGGAAAAATCATCGCAATTGCGGTTTGATGCAGACGCAGAGATATCAGTGTTAGTGTGAATTAATCGCAATATTGTAATGCATAATTTTGTTAACAACTGTGAATGTGTTTGTGATTGATTAGGATGGAGTCACAGATTAAGCATGCTGTTGTTGTGAAAGTTATGGGTCGTACGGGATCAAGAGGACAGGTTACGCAAGTTAGAGTGAAGTTTTTGGATGATCAGAATCGTCACATCATGAGGAATGTGAAGGGACCGGTTAGGGAGGGAGACATTCTCACCCTTCTTGAATCCGAGAGAGAAGCAAGAAGACTCAGATAGATGAGTAATATTTATCTTAATCTTTTGTTGCAAGTTTTTATGAAGTACCTATTATTTCTTTAGCTTTTCATTTGGACGAGTTTTCAGTAAACTAAAATTACGTTTTTGATTCTATTTTCAGTGTTTTTCGTGCTTTATTGACTCTATTAAGATGTAGTTCTTGGTTACTTTGATATAATTATGCAAATGCTTATGATTTGAAAGTACCTGTTTTTTTTTAATTATCATTGGTATAAGCATGACAATCTTACACAACATATTGAACAACATGTACTTGATTTTAGATCTAGATCAATGCACTATGCACATGTTTCTAATCATAAGCATTTCAGCAAAACTATGTTTCAATTCAACACATCAAGTAAAACAAGAAAAACATAGTATAGTTTCATAGGATTATTTCATTAGAGGAAGTATCTCAACCAATTTGCTTCTTTACCATCTGTTGAAGTGTTATCATTGTGTTATCATTTCTAATTTTATAGTAGATTGAGCGATGATTGATCTAATTTTATAGTAGATTGAGCGATGATTGATTTTAAACTTTCAAGAGATTGCTCTTTCTGCTATGTTATATGTTTAACTATTAGTTGTTTTGAAATCGTCTAATAAGGTCTTTCAATGTTGTTTCAATGATCTATACTAAGTCTACCGATAGTCCTATGACATACGTATAATCAAGGGCAATACGCAAGACTGTCGATGCGCTTTTATATTCATTTTGTCGTACACTAGCACCAGTATTCTTGAAGAGTTTAACATTTGAATTATATAGGGTGCAAGGTATATAGAAAAAGTGATTGTATAACTTAGTAAGATTTATCCCAAAAAAAAGTCCCTTTTATAATCTAGTAATCTTAAGATTAATGATTACACTCAGCCTCCTTCTTTTCATATAGAAGTAGATACATAACAATGTTTTCACATTATTTACAAGAAGAATGTTTGAACCAAACAATTTGTTTACATAGAGAAGTATGCTTGTGCAAATTCCATTTTTAGATTTATAGTAAATGTATTTGTCACTTCATTCTCTTTAAATCCACTTGATATTATCTGATTGTCAAACTTTTTTCCATTACATCAGAACTTATTTAAGACCAACTTATATAAATCACCATTCAAATTTCTCATTATAAATTTTTTAGTCTAAATCATCATTAAGAAAAAAAATTAAATTAACGTCTATTTGAATGGATATGAATTGGGCTGGTAATAGATGGATCAAAATAATTCATTAATTTATTAATAATTTGTTAAAATTTTCTTTAAAATATCAAATTCAATTCATCCATGAACTATAAAATCCATCTAATTCATTAATATTTTTTTAGTGGATGAATATTTATTCAAAAAAATGTTTTGTTTTGTTGAAAATTTTTTTATTTATAATTTCAAGAAAATCAATTTTTTTTTGAAAAAATTGACTTTATTATTTTTCAAAATATAGATTTTTTAATTTTTTAGAAAGAAATCAATTTTTTATTTTTGAAAAAAAATTATTTTTTTATTTTTTAAAAATAAATCTAATAGAGATAAAAATAATTCATTAGATTATTAAAATATGATGGATGGATTGAATCAATCTATGCATATAAATACATGAATTTATTTCAATCTATTAACTTATTTTTTATGTATTAGAAGAATTGGATGAATTTTGTCTTGAATTCAATTGTCACCCTTACTGGTATTTTTTTTGTGTATAGATAACATAATTGGGGTTATAATCTTTAAAAACTTTGTTCTCTTATTTCTATGGGGTTATGTGTTTCTTGTTCATTGTTTTCATAGATCATGATAATAAAAACCAGACTTTTTTTAATTAAAAAAAATGGAATCTAATTTTATGAAAGTCAACATTGTTAAATTATGATCACACTTTTGCATTCAAGTCATAAAAAATGTATGATTTTTTTCTTACTACATATTTAATAATTATGCATTCATAGGTTTTACCACGGAGTTTAGAATTTCTTAAGGGGTTACACATTTCTCGGATTTTGAAAAAAAAATCATTTTTATTATTTTTTAAAAAATTTAATGGAGATAAAAATAATTCATTCGATCATTAAAATATGTTAGATGAATTAGATCAATCCATACGTATAAATAGATGAATTTAATTGAATCTATTAACTTACTTTTTATGTAATAAATAGATTGAATGAATTTTGTCTTAATGAATCTAATTGTCACCCCTAATCATATCCTCTTTTAGTGATAATATAATTGGATTTATAATCTTTAGAAACTTTGTTCTCTTACTTCTTTGAGGTTATTGAACGCGACCTTATGAATCTATTGGATGATCTAATTGCAAGTATACAGTTTATTGTGTAGTTTTAAAAGATATCGAACCCATAAAAGACTAATAATCAATCTAATGTTATCAATTAATGATATGTAAAGCTAAGAGTAGTGATTAAAAGGTTTGGACGGAAATAAAACGTAAATTACTGAAGATTTTAGAAATATATTAATAAAGAGAGACCAGAATATGGATTTTGTGTTCCTTAGAGACTTTGTAAATAATAGGTGCTTAAATTATAGTTAAATTACGTTCCGTAGAAAGTATCAGTTAGACTATATCTCACACTCTCGCGCTATTTACTAAAGCCACACTCCCTAACCATGAGATTTTTCTCTCGCTCGTTCATTTTAATTAAGAAGCGTATTTTGAAATTTAATTAAATCCTAATCGATACCTAAAGCACTTTCGCTGTATTTAGGATCGATGCCCAGTTTTTCCTATCCTGTTCAATCCTCACACTCTCGCGCTATCAACTCGAACCTTAATTTGCTTTTCACTCTCGTGACAAACATTAAGTAAACTTGAAAACTAAAGCTAAAACATAATTTACTAACGTTTTACACCTAATTTCATTACTGAGTCCCACGACAACGACTGTCGTCATATACTGGTCTCAAATATGTTTAGGCAGACATTAAATTAAACATAAACAACTTAAACAGGGTATTTGAATGTAAATGCAACATGCTATTAAAGTAAAGAGTGCGATAAACAATAACAAACACAATACTAATAAAAACCTGTAAGAGTAGAAGTAAAATGCGGGAACTTGAAATAACCACGAAAATGCTTGATTATGCCGACATGCTTTTTGATCTAAGAGTACAAGAATTAAAAAAAAAAAACAGAATTGTGACAATCTCTCAATGCGAGCGATTGTCACTTTTAAAGATAATATATGCCTAAGACTAGAAAAGAAAAACAGCAGAGCTTCCGCACTATCTTGGATATCTCAAAACTATGTAAAATGCCTCTTATATAAAGATTTTAAACCATAAAATTGTCTCCAGAACGTGTATGGGACGTTGAGAGAGAGAGAGAGAGAGAGAGAGAGAGAGAGAGAGAGAGAGAGAGAGAGAGAGAGAGAGTCCAAGCAGAAATCACGTATTCTGTTGTTGCATGATAATGGCGACTGCCATTAGGCTAATGGTGAACACCATTAGCTCAATTAGTGGATGACGTGGACTAGGTACATGGCGAACGCCATGTATCAGAAATGTGATTTTTCTACACTTTCTTCTTCTCTTATGCTCTTTTTCCAGTTTCTTTACGTGATCGCTCCATAAATTATTAAAACCCGAAATACAAACAGAACACGACATAAAAGCAATAAAACATAATCAAATAACATGCAAATGGGGTATAAAAACACGATACATGTTAACATTATCAATTATATGTTTCTTCTTGTTCATTGTTTTCATAGCTCCTGATTATAGAAATCGAACTTGTTCGTGTGCCTCACTATTTTTTAATTTAAAAAATAGAATCTAATTTTATGAAAGTCAACATTATTTGAATCATCCTTTAGTATTCTGGTTATAAAACATGTATGATTTTCTTCTTACTACATATTTAATGAATATGTATTGATAGTTTTTACCACTGAGGTTAACTCACTTGACTTAGGGATCTGACATAAGTCAAACAATTCTATTTTTGAAGATAAGACAAGTTGTATTGTATTTTTTTTAAAATTTCTTAAGCTGTGACCCTTTTATCGAATTTTGAAACTTTTATTCAACACATAATGAACAATCAAGAGTATTTTCCTCCATCAATGAAAAGCATCATCAAAATTCAACATAATACTAAGAATGAATTCAGTTTTTAAGAAAACATGGTGTTGTAATTTTATGTATACAATTTTTAAAAATTCATTAAACAAGTTGAATTCATAATTTATGTCTCTATTACTAAAACCTTTTTTTATTTTTCTATTATATTAATTTTTAATTTATGTTACAAATATTTTAAACATGTTATTACCTTCTTTTTATTAGATATGCATCATCAATAAATATATTTTGCATTTTTAATTAGAATTACATAGAATTCATTATAGTGTATCAAATATAAAGGCTCTGATTCTCTAACAACTTCCGTATTTAAGTTTTTGGTTATTTCAACTTGTCTACAAAAATCACATTTTAGTATATCAATAAAAGATAGTTTTGGAATTTATCCTAAATTACTCAAGTTCAGGATTATGTGTTTATTTACCTGATAAATTCTAGCGCGCTTTGAAAATTTTAATTGGTAATGCGCATATATATATATATATATATATATATATATATATATATATATATATATATATATATATATATATATATATATATATATATATATATATATATATATATATATATATATATATATATATATATATATATATATATATATATATATATATATATATATATATATATATATATATATATATATATATATATATATATAAAATGTAAAATAATTTTACACGGTTAATCAATCACCTTTATATATTCCGCTATATCATACTATAAATATTAAATTACTGATATAATATTATAGATTGATAAATTTTTATTAAATAATAGTATAAAATTATTTTACACTGTCAACGTATACCAATTAAATAAAATTGTACAGCCACATTAGCAACTATGAAACCCCTGCGATAATGGATCTCAATTACAATGTT